TCTTTACATGTACCGAACCTAATTGCAATTTGGGTCGACTCGAATAATTAAGAGCGGCAGTTGATTCAAACGTCGATCCGAATTTAGTCGATCCTAATTGCAAAACTGAACATAACTCCATTGTAGTCAGCGGTTAATGCCTACCAAAATGGCGGAAAAAAATGCGGGAAGCACAACTTGTGGAAATGAAGAGCTTGTTTTTCTTGCAAATGCGATTAAGGAGGGTAGAAAAAGCCGACTCAAGATGCAGTTAGCATTAAACAACCTTGCTGCCAGGAGAAGACGAGTTTTGAATTTGGCTTGGACAGGTATATTTTGTGGTTTTAAAACGGGTCGGATAGAACGGCACTGTCGATCCGAATACAAATACATGTAAAGATCGACGTTTGAACTAGGCCTAAGGCCTAGTTCAAACGTCGATCTTTACATGTACCGAACCTAACGTTTCTATTAAGTACATGTAAAGATCGACGTTTGAATCAATTAGGATCGGCAGATTTGTATTCGGATCGACAGTGCCGTTCTATCAAGTTGCGTTGCTCATATTTCGAATTCGATAGACACCGTTTTACTGAAAGTAACAATTTTGAATAGAGAGAAATTCACCGTTTCCCATGCATGAGATCGTATTTTCAATTAGCAATGTAGTTGAAATCTGTACTGACTGAAGCTGATAGTATCAGGAGTCTAAGGAAGCCAAGGCTGAGAAGCAAAAATAGTTTAGCACTACAGACATTTAGTCCCGAGGTTGGTTTTTATTTTAAGTCCTTTTGTTTTTAATATCATTTTTTTTACAATAATTTTGCTTATTACAGCAACTACATCGTTAGAAATGATACGTAATGTCACGTAATGTCATGTTAAGGGTTTTTATACTAATGATTTCATATCTTTTTTTTTAATACTGCTGAGTGTGATTTCAATAAAAAGCAAGCTTTTAAGTTTCACAAAGGTATCACTTGCTGTTGTTATCGAGTAATGAGGGGGCTTGATACCACCCTTGACTTAATCTGCATTTTGCTCAAACGTTTTCCTCTATTTTCATAACAGAGGAAGGTCCCTTTAACTTTTGATTGGTAAGGAGGTTTCACTTCTTCGTAGAGTGATCTCCCTCGTAACGTGAACCAAAATGACTCTTTGTGAAAAGAGAAATCATGTTATTACTTGTTAGTAATGTACATGAAAAAAGCATCACACAAAGTCGAGACAAACGAAATTTTGACAGCGCGAGTATTATTGGTTTAGCTTTCCCGAAAGTCTCATTGTTTTGGAATCACTGAGAAGTTCAGAAAAAAGAGCTTCAAAAATATCAGCCCACAGTCACACCACCAATCTTCGCCACTTTCTGATCACACTGAGAACCTGGACATAGATGGAGATAGATAAGGTGATTATGAAAATATTCAAATCTGCAGCCTCCTAAGGCTGAATAGGCCATTTTACAGTAGTGTACTTAATTGCCAAGCCTTTGATTTGGAGTGAGGCTGAAGGTGACCTTGTTGTGATAGAGAGAAGTATATAGTTAGCATGATAACAAAGAAACTTGCATTTGAAAAGCAGCAAGGTTTGTATCATAACAAGGTCACCCTTAGCCTCACTCCTGTTCAAAGGCCTGGCAACCTAGCACACATCTGTAAAATGGACTATTGCATGATTTTACAAAAAGTTAAAGTTACATACACATATGTAAAATAACAATTTCATGTGTTATAAAATGACTGTATAGAAAAAACTACGTATAAAAGTTTTACCAATTGGACATAGATTGAACAAATGTGTTCGTGTAACGATTAGTGCGCATTCTCGGCAACATAAAATTGCCCTAGTTTATGAAATTGTATCTGCTAATGTTCCGAGGTGGCACAGTATTATAAGATAAGACTAAAACAAATAGTTTATAACACTTTAGATTATAAACAATAGTCTACAATCTTTTCTTAGAAACACCGATTCAAGCAGCTTTTGTGATGAATACAATTTTGGACCGTGTGTAACAAAACAGATTTAAAAGATGTTTACGCTTTGGCTATTTTTTTCGCGATTTCGGAATAGTTTGCAGTTGTTACCGATGTTTTTATGTTAGCCAACACCTTTCATGACAAAAATTGGTGCTTTTACAAGGACATGTTTGTCAAACTTCGAATTCCCTATTTTAATTTTTATTCGAGCTAATTGCATTCGTTTCATCAAGAGATTATAGATTTTTATCGGAATCCCATATTTCGGGTAACATGCGCATTGGTAAGCGTCAGCAAAATCGTGCGTCTAAATTTTTTTTGGATCTATATTTTTCATTCATATTTCTTAGAAAATTCATTCATCCTTGACCAGTTTTTATGTGTTTGTTCTTCCTTGTAAACTTGATAATGAGGCTCTTCAATCAGCTTTATTCATTCCTTGATAAGACACTAAAAAACTCCTTTTAAACAGAAACTGGAACATCAAATTCGTTCATTGAATGGTTTGCAGCTGTTTGCAACATCTACACACCTAATCCTCGTGGGAATTCTATTCTTAACTTCCTTGTTCCTTCCTTAGATATCTTGTCACACTAATTGATTTTTGTTTCAGACAACAAGGTGGATTTTTTCAGAGTTGATATTTGGCCTTTGACACTTTGTTAAAACCTCAAAGTACTCCGCGCGCAGGATGTGGTGAAATCAAACATCTCATTATCTGTGCTCAGCAGCCATAACATCTCCATGGATTTTGGGTTTGTAACAGCTTTCTTTTGGTTTTAAATGTTTCTAAAATATCTTGCTGCAAAGTGGAACTTGTGTTAATTTCTGTTGTCTCCAGAAAGACCCTTTAACACTCATCTTCGGCTCGTTTTTAATTCAATTTCGTTACTGGGTTTACGCTCAGTGAACAGGTATCTTGGCATTCAAATGCTAATGATCGATAATGATTCCAAAACTTATCAAATTCAAGTGTCATTTTCAATGCTTCGGTGTTTCAGCAATCACGGAACACTGATGTCTGAGGCATTCTCTGACAATTAGTTTTCAAGAATTAAGTTTATATGAAACTGAAAATTCGAAATACGTCAGCACCAGGAGAAATGATTGGTTACCAAACAAACAGGGAATAACAAGGAAGTTTTAAGATCCAAGGTAAGTGTCTCCTAAAATCGGGAAGAAAGTGCAAGAGATAGACAATACAGCAAAGCAGAAATAATTTTAATATAGCAAAAGTAAACTGCTTTAACAATTCACAGTGTCTTTCAATTAATTTATACAAGTCTTGATGTATACTTCAAGCCTAAAAGCCTGCAACAAAGTATCCCCCAAGAAAATGACGAAATACTATCAAGTTCCTTGCTCGCTGAAAGCAAGGCAAATATCACGCAACGTATCGCGAGAATGATGGCGGCCATGTTAACTGATTCCTGAGTAATAATTATGGGTACGCGCAACACTGCAAATGTTTTGTAGAGAAATACTTTCATTCACTGTCTAATCGTGTTAAGACTTACTTCTGTTTTTCTGAAGATAACATAATTATTTTTCATTTTCCGTGGAAAAACTCTAATTTGTCATTGTTCGTAAACTTCATTGGAATTTCCTATGTGCTCTCTGTTTCTAGGTCATTGTACTCATTTTAAGAATTATTTGAAGTGAAGTGGTAGCTCAGTGTCACCTTTATCCGACCGCTGTTTGTGTTTTGTACTTTAGAGTTGATAACCAGTAATCTGTGTTTTAAAAGTTTACTCGCCATCTCCTTTCTGTAGATCAAAGGTTGTAAGAGATGAATATTTTCCGTCGGTTGAAATAAATGTCAATGTTTTCTCTGAGCTTTATGTAATCAAAAATACACGCTATCTAGGTTCTTTTTCTCCTCGTCGTTTAATATTTAGTATGATTATTTTGTCTTTCAAGTGAGTCGATGTTTTTTACAGTATTTCTACCCTGTCTCTATCGTTCTTCGTGATTTTCTTCCTGCTTTAGAGGACAATAACCTTGAATCATTACTTCCTTGTCAGTCCTTACTTATGTGATAGGAAAACACCTCTTTATTCTCGTGGTTTAATATTGACTTAAGGTTTGGATACAAACGTAAGTCAAACCTTGAACATCTACTTTTTCGCGATTGGTGAAACACAGATGTGAAAGTTTATAATCACAAATGAATTTATTCCATAGCCAGGCGGGCATTGATATCTAAAGAGTAAACAATCGAATGCAAAGATACACGTTAGTTGAGCGTAAACCCATTCACTTATGAAGATAAGATCAAAGGCGCCTAGCATGTGTACCCAGTGGGTCAAAGCTGTAAAACCAAAATACAAATTTGACGGCATTCTCGCGTTGCATTATAAAATTCCACAATCATATTAACAAACTTGTAGGAACCCATGAAAACTGTTACATCCACCAAGATGTTCTCAATGCAAGCCCTATTCACTAAGTAGGGATATTCAAATGAAATTTTCAGTGGTTAGGATTTTCTTTTGAGCTGTAAGTATTTTAAAGGAAGTAATATTCAGAGACAAAGTTTCAAAGACTGAGTAAAACTATGAGAAAAGACACCTGTTGGCTGAGGTAGTGATTAGTGTAATTACATAAAAACAAGGAAGTTAAGCATAGATTGTCCCCTGGGATAAAGTGTGTTTATGTTGTAAACAGTTCAGTGCAGTACATTCAGTTCACAATATTGGCACTCTATTCTACATCGAAAAGAAGTTTTCCAGCATAACTTCAAGATATAATTGAATTTGAACAAAACCTCCAAATTCTAGAAATGCAGCAGTGGGTTAAACAGCAGAAACAATAAAAAAAAACTTGTCAAGGGCGACTGAATATTCCAAGATACATGAATTAAATTTACATGACTTCGTGTCCAAGAATAACCATTGAATTTCCCAAATGCTGAAGCGAATTAGAGCAACTCTTACACCCCGGTTTAGAATCACATCAACTTCAGTCAAAGAGAGACGAGCAACACCAAGAAGAAAATTGACGGAGTAAACCAAACAAAACTGAGCCCAGAAGAAAACAATTATGCTCGCTGTAAGTGGACAGGCACTGTTTAAGTTTAGATATTGCCTAGTTATAATTGCATGCACTACACAAACAGTTGAAACAGATTTCTAGAACTGATGTATTGATCCAGGCCTTTTTTTAGTCAACTGTGTATCTGTATTTTACTGAATATTTTCATCATTATTATGATTGACTTTCAACTGCATCTTTATTTCTAAACTTTGATTATTGAATGTCGGCTAAGTTACATAGAAAGAATCTAAAGGATGTCTCCCATTTTTCCCAACGCAACATCATCTTGTTGGCAACAGTTTTTATAGAAGTAAAAATTTTGAAACTTGAAGTAAGATGAAATTTTATGAGTTGACTAAGGGCTCATGTTTTCAGTGATTAGAAGAAATTAATTAATGACAATCTCTATGTATTTTGTTCGTTCTTCGTAGAAACCAGCCCTGGTACTCCTGGTGCTTGTTGCCACAGCAAACTGGACATCTGCAAGTCCCGTCCGTTCCGCTCGCTCTCCTTCCGAGAAGGTAAATTAATTATTTCCTCTCAATCCAATAATCAGTAACAAAAGGCTCAGCAGTAATTCATCTTGCATGCCATAAAAAACTTGCCTTTTTTTCCTTCTCTGTCTTCTTTTACCGTCATTTTCTAATTACCTCTCGCTCGTATAATTTTTGGAAACAAATATAACGTTTCAAAACCAATTACTGAAATAACTGGATTTAAAATTTAAGCTTCACTGCATTTATAAATGCATCTTTCATTAGAGATACAAATCTCTTTGCTTGCCACAATGTTGTAAATAAACTTCACTCAGACCGACGCGTTATCGCGATTCCTGTCGTCCTTGCTAGCTACATTCTACGTAAATATTTTTACGACTTATCTCAACAAACCTGTCAAAATTCAAAGGTCAGCGCACCGTTCTGAAAATAAGAAGACACCGCTCTAATTTGGCATTTTCTATTTCACAGGTTGTGGGTTATAAAGTTCAAATCAGCGAGACTGGGACAGAGTACAACGAGACCATCGAAGTGGACACGGGAAAACAAACTGAACTGTTTAAAGTTCCTGCTCATAAGTCTGTTTTAGCATCAAGCGGTGTAAAAACAGTAGGATTTATCCAATCGTCAATCAAACCTAAAAATGTGCTTAATCAGTTCAAACCCAACTGACTCATCATAAAGCACAATCTTTTTATCGTGTTTCAAGCATAGCAAGTCTTGATTATAACTCTTTAAGCCAACGGGGACAACGCTGAACATGATCAGCTATCCTTTACTAGACAAAGCTAGACCAGACAAAGGGGACATATTCATTATGCTTACAAATTTATGTTTTCGTGTAAATGAAATACCAGTGTTTAAACAACATTGGGATTATCGAAAAATTCCTCTTTTATCGTAAAACAGAATATGACTATGATGCTGTTGCCGGAAAAAAAGATATGCTACCTAATGCCACTGACAGAAGAGGTGCCAACACCGGCAAAACTCGAGAGTGATCTTGACCGGACAGAGGTAAGGACATGTTCCTTTCTTCAGACAAACGACTCCAAGAGACTGTTTTCAAAACATTATTAGATGGCAAAGAAACAAAACGGTCACAAAATTCCCTAATCTTTCATTTTTTAGTAAAAAACACAACTGCTGTTAAGTCTTTATTTGCTAACTATTTGCTATAATCATCGATCGAGGTGCTGCCACTTAAATGTCTCGCATCTAGATCTTGGATCATTATAAGAAGCTGGAAACATTTTGGAAACTTAACCAGGTATCCCAGTCTATTGTTGAGAAACCAATAAAAAATTCAAGAGGAGAAATATGTGGGTACGGGTTTCAATAGTTTTGTCCTGGCGGCTGGCTGACCAAAGAATACATTGTACTGATATGTGGACACTGTGGGATACGCATAGTTTCTCTTTTACAGAAAGACACGTTGCTGAAAAATTCTAAAACATCTCGTTGCCGTTTTACAAGAATTAGGAATTGTCCTGATTGCTAGCTGACTAGTGCACCGATTGGTGAGAAGTACAAGAGACACATGATTTCTCTTTTGCTTAGGGATAGCTGAAAAATACTAAGATATCTTTTTCCTGTTTTGCAGGAATTAGACAAGGACAAGACCAAAATTATTGAAAGCAAGTGGACAGTGGACGATGAGATGGCTGATCGGTCTGAACTGAGCGAGGAGTTGGCAAACTTTTGTCCACAATACCCGATTTATCAGGTGAAAATAATGGACGACTCATTGACTTCAACAAGGGTTGAGACAGAAGGTGAGTGAGAAATGCGTATACCTAAAAAAAAAAGAAGCTAAATGACTTTTATTAATTTACGGAGAGAACCCATACGAAGCTGTCTCGTGAAAGAATTAAAGAATGAAAAATATTGAGACACCTGGTGAATCTTGAAGGTGATAGAAATTTCTAAAATATCTAGATGTCGTAAGTTCCTGCAGGAAATTAATTGAGGTATTTCTCTCAATGTTTTGCTCTTGTTTTGCAAACTTTAAATCGCTGTGACACATTTGATGCAGTTGTGTCTTTTCTTTTTGCAACAGGAACGCAACATCGCAGTCGTCGACGTGCGAGATCATTTCCGCCAATTCACCCATGCAATCTGTGCGCAGGTGGAAAAGGCACCGTTACTTACTGGGATAAGTGTTGGTGTTCCAATAGTGGAGGATACTGGAAAATTGAAACCAAGATAGCTTCGCGTACATGCGTTACGATCCGGGAGTGTTTTTTAGTGGTTTTGTAGGTTAAAGCACCACGTTCGCTATGTATATTGTTCCCAATATGTTTGCCAACGTCCAACATACTATAGGCCACGCCCATATTATGGGCGAAACACACCTACCGATATGTAGGTTTATTGTTTTTTTAGAGGGCACGGTAACGAATCTTGCAATCTGATTGGTTCTTTACCCGGTCAGTATTTTCCTATCTCTGCCCACGGGCCACGGTAACGCTTTCGTGAGTCTCCGAGTACCTCCCAACTTTCGTTGTCATTTTTCATAAATATACCTCGTTTTCCGGCTGGGCAGTATTTTAAGCAAACACGTCGGTCACTACCTCAAGCCGATAAATAACTGATGAATCCTCTCTTTTCTCTCTATCAAATCACTTTGGTTGACAGAAAAATATTTGTTTCAGAATGAATTTGTATAAACAATAGTGTCATTACGTTGGTTGACAAGCGGCCTAAAAACCGTCTGCAATTAATTTTAATCGTTCACAAAAAGTACCCAGAAAGTTGAAACGTGAGGTATTTGGTTACAGTTAAACTGAACGATGGAACTTTCATTCATTTAATATCTGAATTTTCTCGAGCAATTTGTTCATAGTGAAAGAGCGAGCGAAGTTTTAATTTAAGTTCTACAACAAATATACGCTCCTGGTGAGTCTTCCCAATTCCGTTCAATTTGGACATTTGTACCTTAAATTGCACAACAGAAATTGAAGGAATTTTTTGAGAAAAGGCCGCATTACATTCCCTTGTGTCTCGTTGGAGTGTGCCGTTCGAATTTAGTTTTTGTGAAGGAAAGATCAGAGTTAAACACGCCATTACAGCAAACAAACGAGCAAACTCTCACAACTTCAAAATAAAAAAAATTGAATTTACTCACAATTACTTTCCTCTCCGTTTACATAATGAACAGAGGTAAATCTTCGTACATGAATAATTGGTCGATGAGAGTGAATAATACTTTCCGTTAGATCATTAACTGATTTTGAAGAAAACATTGTCGTGACAGTCCATGCCAAACTAGTTCTGTTGGTTTTCAAATGTTCCTACGCTTTTTTTTTTCTTGCGCGCTCTCTAATTGACAGGTGTCAGATTGTGACAGATACTTGTAAAAATAATGTTTCAAAGTTTGTTTGGAAGCCTTTTAAATCACCTTTATCGATACGGAAATGAAAATGTTTCGCTGAGGCATCTATCTTAAATTTGCATCACCTCTATTTTAACTACCATTTACTCACTCAAAAATTGTTCAGTTTATGGAAGATCTTGCCGTATTTACGTCCATAAATCATTCGGGTTCTTTCGGAAAGAATCTCGTCAAGTTTAAAAACAATAAATATGTTATTTACCGGCTAAGGGTCGGTCCGTATGGTGAAAAACTGTGACCTCGGTCTTGAAAATGCTGCCCTCGGCCTACGGCCTCGGGCAGTATTTTCAAGACCTCGGTCACAGTTTTTCACCATACGGACCTCCCAGCCGGCAAATAACATATATATCTTCACCGTGTTGAAGACAAAATGTTAACGGAAATCAGGTGTTTATTATATCATAAACAGTTAACGCTTTTTTCATTTGTTACCCTCAAGATAAGCAGTAATAATTGAACCCATAGTAGCTCTTTCTTTTTTACATTTTTAAGTTAGTGTCGTTAGTAGTCCAGCTTTTAGTGAGATGTGTTCTCGGCGCCGCTGTGGCGTTGCTCATACTTCGAATTCCATAGACACCGTTTTAATTAGAAGTACAATTTTGAATAGAGAGAAATTCACTGTTTCCCATGCATGAGATAGTATTTTCAATTAGCAATGTAGCTTAAATCTGTACCGACTGTAGCTGATTGTATCAGGAGTCTTAGGAAGCCAAGGCTGAGAAGCAAAAATATTTTAGCACTGCAGACATTCAGTCCAGAGGTTGGTCCTTTTGTTTTTTAGTCTAATTTGTTACAATATATTAGCTTATTACAGCAGCTACATCGTTAGAAATGATACATAATGTCATGTTAAGGGTTTTTATAACAATGATTTCATATCTTTGTTTTAATTGCTGAGTATGATTTCAATAAACAAACAAGCTTTTAAGTTTTACAAAGGTATCACTTATTGTTGTTATCGATTAATGATACCACCCTAAAAATTGTAATCAGAAATACACGCTATCTAGGTTCTTTTTTCTCTTCGTCTTTTAATATTTAGTATGATTATTTTATGTCTTTCAAGTGAGTCGATGAAAGTCAGCAATCACGGCATTTCGCAAACATTTGCAGTGTAAGACAGCATTGATTTTCTTTACTTATGCTTGTGTAAGGAATCAAGCATGTTTGGTAATCTTTCCCAGATATTTTGTAGAGTGGTAAACTCGCTCTTGATAAACATGGAAATTGCGGTATTAAAATTGGTTGGTTGTAAATTAAATCTACAAAAAGGAGTTTAGTTGTTACAAAGGTTCGGTTGCACTTCATTCGCAGGCCCCACGGAAAGGACGTGGGCACTTTTCAAATTGTTTATTTCTACTTTACAGTATTTCTACCCTGTCTCTATCGTTCTTCATGATTATCTTCCTGCTTTAGAGGAAAATAACCTTGAATCATTACTTCCTTGTCAGTTCTTACTTATTTGATAATAAAACACCTCTTTATTCTCGTGGTTTAAAGTTGACTTATGTCTTGAATGCAAACGTAGGGCAAAACTTGAACATCTACTTTTTCGCGATTGGTGAAACACAGGTGTCAAAGTTTATGATCACAAATGAATTTATTCCATAGCCAGGTGGGCACTGTTATCTAAATAGTAAACAATCAAATGCAAAGATACACGTTAATTGAGCATAAACCCATTCACTTATGAAGATAAGATCAAGGGCGCTAAGCCTGTGTACCCAGTGGGTCAAAGCTTTTTATAACCAAAATACAAAATTGACGCAATTCTCGCGTTGTATTATAAAATTCAACAATCACATTGACAAACTTGTAGGAACCCATGAAAACTGTTATATCCCCCGAGATGTTCTCAGTGCAAGCCACACTCGCTAAGTAGGGATATTCAAAATGAAATTTCAGTGGTTAGGATTTTCCTATTACGTTGTAAGCATTGAAAGGAAGCAATATAGAGAGACAAAGTTGCAAAGACTGAGTAAAACTATGAGAAAAGACACCTGTTGGCTGAGACAGGTAGCAATTAGTGTAATCAAATAAAAACAAGGAAGTTAAGCATGGATTACCCCCTCGGATAAAGTGTGTTTATGTTGTAAACAGTTCAGTACAGTGCATTCAGTTCACTATATCGGCACTCTATTCTACGTCGAAAAGGATTTTTTCAGCATAACTTCAAGATATAATTAAATTTGAACAAAACCTCCAAATTCTAGAAATGCAGTAGTGGGTTAAACAGCAGAAACGATAAAAAAAGCTGTCAAGGGCGACTGAATATTCCAAGATATATGAATTAAATTTACAAGATTTCATGTCCAAGAATAACCATTGAATTTCCCGTTTCCCTCATGCTGAAGCGAATTAGAGCAACTCTTACATCCCGGTTTAGAATCACGTGTTTTGCACGATAGAAGGTGAATGATGCACTAACATAAGATGCCAGAAACAACTGTAAACAATCACCGAAGTCACAACACAGTATCTGTTAAATTAACCCACCAGTTAATCGAAAAAAATACCTTATGTTGCAAACACTTCTGATATTTCTTTTCCACGCACCCTGATATTTCCTCGAAATCTAAAATGAATTATCAAGAATACAATGTACCCCTCGCTGAAACATAAAATTCAAATATGCATTAATAATGCATATGCATAGCATTAAGTACGGCATAAAAAGAAGCAAAGCACGTCCAAGTTACAGTACACATCGACTTCAGTCAAAGAGAGACGAGCAACACCAAGAAGAAAATTGACGGAGTAAACCAAACAAAACTGAGCCCAGAAGAAAACAATTATGCTCGCTGTAAGTGGACAGGCACTGTTTAAATTTAGGTATAGCCTAGTTATAATTGCATGCACCACACAAACAATTGAAACAGGTTTCTAAAACTGATCTATATTGTTCATTTAAATTTTTCGTGTATCTGGATTTTACTGAATATTGTCATCTTTATGATGATTGACTTTCAACTGCATCTTTATTTCTAAAATTTGATTATTGTATGTCGGCAAAATTACACAGAAAGAATCTAGAGGTTGTCTCCCGTTTTTCCTAACATAGCATCATCTTGTTGGCAACTGTTTTTATTAAAGTAAAAATTTTGAAACAACAAGTTACATGAAATTTTATGAGTTGACTAAGGGCTTCAATTCGTGTTTTTCAGTGATTAGAAGAAATTAATAAAATTAATTAATGACGATCTCTATGTATTTTGTTCGTTCTTTGTAGAAACCAGCCTTCCTATTCCTACCGCTTGTGTGCCACAGTAAACTGGACATCTGCAAGTCCCTTCGGTTCCGCTCGCTCCCCTTCTGGGAAGGTAAATTGTTTCCTCTCAATCCAATAATTAGCAACAAAAGGCTCAGAAGTAATTTATCTTGCATGCTATAAAGAGCTTGCGTTTTTTTTTTCCTTTTCTGTCTTTTACCGTCACTTTCTGATTACTTCTCGCTCGTATAATTTCTGGAAATAACTAAAACGTTTCAAAACTAGTTATTGAAATAACTGGATTTAAAATTTAAGCTTCACTGCATTTATAGATGCATCTTTCATAAGATGTAAATCTCTTTGCTTGCCACAATGTTCAATGTGTAATTAAACTTGCCTTAGACCGTTGCCTTATCGCGATTCCTGTCGTCCTTGCTGGCTACATTCTTCGTAAATATTATTACGACTTATCTCAACAAACCTGTCAAAATTCAAAGATCAGCGTACCTCCGCTCTAATTTGAGCATTTTTTATTTCACAGGTTGTGGATTATAAACTTCAAATCAGCGAGACTGGGACAGAGTACAACGAGACAATCGAGGTTGACACGGAGAAGCAAACTGAACTGTTTAAAGTTCCTGCTCATAATGACGTGGA